CTGAGTTTTTATGTAGATATGTGTTTTCAGTTCTCTTGGTCAGGTACTAAGGAATATAATTGGTGGAAAATATGTTTAACCTATGATTGACTCTGTATTTGGCCTTCTGAGGGGCTACTGTGCTGTTTTCCAAACTGGCTACACTGTTTTAAAATCCTCCCGATGCTGTCTAAAGGTTCTAATTTCTCTACCTGCTCATGTGGCTACACTTTTACTGCCCCTTGTTATGATTTAGGTGATGGGGGAGGTTAATGTGGTTTCTCCCTGTGCTTTTGATTTCCATTTTCCTGAAGATTAATAGCATCCTTCTTCCTTTCAGGTCTTCTTTGGGAAAATGTCTCTTCAGAGCCTTTGCCAGTTTTCTAAGTTGAACTATCTGCCTTTTTATTTATTAACTGTATCTTAAACATGTGATTTCTAATTTGTACATTGTTGTCAATGGCTGGGACCTCAGAGTAAGATGTCACAGAGGTCAGAGGTGGATGAAGTTGTACAAATCAGTCTCGCCTCTGCTGTTCACAGATGACTCCGCTTAGAGTGACTTACACTGACCTAGTTAGGAACAGAGGGGGTGGGGCATAAATAAATCTACATCAGAAATGGGCAGACCGGTGCTTCATGATATACACAGTTGAAAATTGCCTAATGACAAGGATACGTTCAAGAAATGTATTTTAGGCAAATTCCCTATTGTGTAAACTCCTCAGAATATATGTACAAAGTAAACTAGACATGATGTCATCAGGTTTATGTATCCACTATGATAGACACTGTCCATTGTTGACCAAAATGGGATATATTGACTGAAATTCCTTCCTTAAAGAGAATAATCTTCTAATTTTAACATAATAGGGATTTGAAAGAGAAGCTAGGGGACTTGTCTTCAAGTTGTATTCAACAAGCAAGAATACTTTTTCTTTAGATCAACAAACTGAGAAGTTTTCTAAAGACACTTTAAGTACATCTACTTTGAGAAAGGGTCTCCCTGTAGCCCCAGCTGTCCTGGAATTCACTATGTAGACCAGGCTGGCTTTGAACTCACAGAGATCTGCCTGCCTCTGCCTCCCAGGTGCTGGGACTACAGGTGTGCACCACCACGCCTGGCTATTTTTTTAAAAGATTATTTTTATTTTACATGTATGGGTGTTTTGCCTGCATGTAAATACACCACATGTATGCAGTGCCTGTGGAGGCCAGAAGAAGGTGTTGAATTCCCGGAATTAAAGACTTTTGGTAGCTGCTGTGTGGGTGCAGGAAACTGGGAACCCAGGTTATTTGCAAGAGCAGCCAGTGCTCTTAACTGCTGAGCCATCTTTCCAGCTCCAAGAATCTTTTTGAATCTTAAGTGACAGCAAAGCTGTCTGGTTCTTCATGGCCTCTGTGGGAGTTTGCTCTTTTAAATCCATCATGTAGCCTTAAATAGCTTTTGAAGGAGACTTCATTTGGGCTTGGATTTGTCATACGTTGCTTGGAATTTACTCTTTCTATTGAAGTCAAAAAAGCATTCCATTTTACATGAAGAAAGGAAAGCGGGGAATGGAGGATATTTGATATTTGTCACCGGGGAGAGAGATGTAGGACAGAAAAACAATGAAAATATTCAGAAAAGATCAATATAAAGTTAGTGTTAAAATAAGAACAAATTAACTGGCTAGATTTTAATGCTGTTAACTACACTGCTTGACTTTAATAGTTTTTCTAACAAAGACCCGTACGGTGAAGCCTATTTTTCCAAGGTCTGAATTGGACTTGTTATTATGGTAAATAACAATTTTTGATGCAAAAAGATTTCTTTGTTTCTCATGATTATACTGTAGTTGGCTTTGATGACAAGGAATAAAAATCATTCTTTAAATCAGATGTTAAGGCTGCTGTGGGAACTGTGCAAAGTTTTGACACCACCCCAGCTTTACAATGGAGAATCATCATTAGCAAGAGCACTCCACCCTTGAAAATGGAACATCCTGTGGATTTATTATCTAAATGGGTAGCCCAGCTCTGTGCTACTGAGGGAGCCCCTGAGCAGCTGTGGTGCAATGTTGTGTCTGCTTACAGATACGTGCATATTTATGCCTTCAGATGTATCACTAAGGAGATGGAGAGTGTCTGATGAGCAGTAGATGCTCAAAACATGTTAACTGGAACTTCATTACTCATAGACATATGGTGATTAAACTGCCTTAAAGAAATGTTTTAAGACCTAATAATATTTTTTACAAGTATTGAGAGAAAATTTTTTTCTTTACTAGTTTTCATGATAAAATATGGCTTTTCATTTGCTTTTTAAAAAAAATATTTCATTTATTATTGTATGTGTATGAGTGTGTTGCCTGTATGTATGCAAGTGTTGTATAATGCCCACGGAGGTCAGAAGATGGCGTCAGGTCCCCTGGAACCAGAATTATGGACAATTGTTAGCCACCATGTGGGTGCTGGGAATTGAACCCAGGTCCTCTGCAAGAACCTCCAGTGCTCTTAACCCCTGGCTATCTCTCTAGCCCCTTGTTTGCTTTTTGAGACAGGGTCTCAATGTGTAGCCCAGACTGGCCTTGAACTCATGATCCTCCAGCCTCAGCCTCCCAAATAAATGCTGGGATTATAGCCATGCACTATCACATCTGGTTCCTGCTGATCCTTATGAGATCCTAATTTCCTATTAACTGAAGGATAGTATCAAGGTGACCAATAACTCAGAAGTACAGTTTCCTTATGTTTCTCTTTTCCCTTTTTAATTATTTTATCTAGCTTCTTCATTGTAAATGCAAATTTCATCAAAGTTAGTTATGAAAACTATATAGTAAAATTTTTTTCTTTGCGTTTCCCCCCTAAACTTTTCAATAACTCTGTTTTCCCTCAGTGTCTCTAACCATTCGTCAGGTTGTGTCTGAGTTAGGACAAAGCTGAGTTAGAGAGCATGCCCCTTAAGGGACCTTCACAACCGTAAGTTTCAGTGAGGCGCGGTATTGGCTTTGAAGCTACAGATTCTCTGACAACAGTTGAAAAATGGTTATTCTAAGTCACTGTTAAATAAAATTTCATACAGCTGGGATACCTCATGTTGTGAAAGTGGAGGTTTCTTCCCCCTGGCCTCTCCTCTAGGGAAACTTACCATCTCCACCTAGACCACAGATAACTACAAGTGATGCCAGAATTTTCCGCAGGAAGCTTTGCTGGATCTTTCCCAGCATAGGGACAATTGCTCAGTTAAATCCACAAAGTTCCATGACACAAGAAGGGCAACTATTCTTGCCTGGAAATTTCTTTTTAGGGTAGGTGTTACCAACCACTGGCTGTGCTTTAGGAAAACCTGATGTTCCCATGGTTCACTGACTTTGAGCTACCTGCTGCCTCAGGAAACTCCAAAAGAGAAATGAAGTACACAATTTGTCTACCTACTTGAATAGGTTGACTGTAGTTGGCTTTGATGACAAGGGATAAAAATTCTTTAAATCAGATCAATCTTTAAATCTTTTTATGATAGAACCACTGGCTCTGATACAATTTTAATTTAATTTAAAGTAGTTTTTATTTAGACATTTCATATATTAATGATTTGATACCACAACCTGTTGTCAATTGAAGATACCCTCTAAAATATTAATTTGTATCATCAGCTATATCTAGAATATATAATGTTCATTTAATATCTTCCTTTGAAATTAAATACCAAACAACATATCACCTGATGGAACTTGGGCCAGGGGGCATCTTTCACGTGGTAAGCAGTAAGCTATCCCCTCATACAGCATAGCCTTGACCCCCTGTCTGGAGGTAGACTACAGATGTTAAGGAACAGCAAATCAGCAGTGCCAAGGCCTCGCGATGGAAAGTGGAAAAGGGTGCTGCAGTTGCTGTGCGGGTCTTTAGGAGTCTGATTTTCTTTGAGATAGTAGCACCCAGGAGAAACACCAGCCAGCATAGGTGGGTGTGACCATGGGATTTGACACAAAGACCTCATCTCACTCATCTGTGACCTGACCTGACATGAGGATCTAGAGGACTCTACGTTTCGTGTCTTCTCCCTTCTGTGGAAACCCATTTTCAAGTAAAAATATCCACAGAGATTGATGACCAGTACATGAATTACCAAGACTCCTTCTCCTTCAACCCCTATCCTCTCCTAGGGATCACTGTTCCTGGCCCACTTACCTGGCACTGCAGCAGCCAGGAAGAGGAAGGAGGAAGAACAGGGGAAACAAGGCAGGGGTGAGGGGAAGAAGGAGGCTCTAACAGAGATTCTTCTTGATACTATTCAATGACAGCTTCCAGGGAAGTTCAACCTATGTAGGACCTCAACTCAAAGAATCATCTGACTTGGAGAGTCGACATAGGAGTCAGAGATCCAGTGGCATCCAATCTCAGTCTCACAGAGAGGACTGAGAGTTGGAGAGAGAGAGGTGACTTCTCAAGCTCACATAGTCCCTATGATGGGTGTCATGATTGCATTGTCTAAGGATATACAGAGTGTAAAGCACTTTCATATTCCTTATTTCATTGCTTCACAGCAATCTCTTTAAACATGCTTGCCAAATGTCATGTAAGAATAAATAATTCTTTTTATTATAGCAATGTAGAAGGAACTCCTAAGTTACGTAAGACAAACCAAGTAGCTTCTAAAACTGACTTTGATTCTAAAATTAGTTTTCAAAATGAGGAAACTAGTTCAGAAAAAACAATAAATAACTGGATTGAAATATTGCTCAACTAATAAATGAGTTACATCTAGAATCCGCAGCTAGGCATGGTGGCTCACGCCTGTAATCTCAGCGTTTGGGAGGATGAGACAAGAGGATTGCCCGGAATTCAAGACCAGCTTTACTCAGCTACTTAATGAGACCCTGTCTCAAAAAAAAGGGGGGGGGGGGTGGACTTTGATCTAAAGTAACTTTTTTGCATGTGTGGCTAAATTAAAGAAAAAAATCATCTTTTTGAAAAGATAACTTCAAGAAAAGATGGTAAACCTTTTGCAAATAACACATTTAAAATTTTTTGTTTTCTAGGATGTAGTTCAGGTTCAAAGTTAAAAGGTCCTGAACTGAGTTTAAAAGGCACCCAGCACGTCATGCAAGCAGGCCAGACTCTGTTTCTTAAGTGCAGGTAAGTGACTGTGTTGGCATGGGTGTAATAACCTCCTTGCTTTTCCCAAGGTAAATTCATTCATTCCCAGCAGAATAGAAAGGTCACCTCTCAGAGTAGACCAGGTAGGACCTCAGTGGCCTTTTGAATCACACAGAGGGTATGTCCCAAGGAGGGAAAAGCATTTCTAACCCTAGGGGAAATACCCAGACTTTTTTGCATCTCTATTCAGAGTATTATTCTAATGCTTTTTTAAATACATTGCTTTTTCATAAAGAAGCAGATGACTAGACCCTTAGAGGAGACCTCAGAAAAGCATTTCATAATCAAATGAATGCTGCCGACCTGGCGCTGAGCCGAGCTCAGCCCTGACTGTGCTTTGCTTTCTTATGTGTGATTGCAGAGGGGAAACAGCCCACTCATGGTCTTTGCCTACAACAGTGAGTAAGGAGAGCAAAAGACTGAGCATCACTAAATCTACCTGTGGGAGAAATGACAGACAATTCTGCAGCACTTTGACCTTGAACATGGTGCAGGCAAACCACACTGGCCTCTACACCTGCAGATACCTATCTAAATCTACTTCAAAGAAGAAGAAAACAGAATCTTCCATCTATATATTTATTAGTGGTAAGAGTTTTTTCCTGTTTCCTCTTTGCTCTGGTTTGGGTCAAAGAGCTGTTGTGATCCAGTGGAAGATTGTGGTAAGTATGGAAGAAATGGGTACTGGAGAGCACCTGTAATAGTTACTTTTTGTTGCTGTGATAAAAACACCATGACCAAAGGTACTTATGAAAGAGTTTATTTTGGCTTACAGTTACAGAGGTAGAATCTGTAATGGTGGGGGAGGCATGGCAGCAGGCTGCTGGAACAGGAAGCTGAGAGATCACATTTCCAACCACACACAGAGAGGACTGGAAGTAGGTGAGGCTTATAGACTCTCAAAGCCCACCCCCAGGGACACACTTCCTCCAGCAAGACACCACATTTTATAAGTTCCATGGCCTTCCCAAACAGCACCACCAACAGGAGACCCAATATTCAAATACCTCAGCCTATTTGGGACTTTTTTCATTCAAACCCCTACACCACCCTAGTTGCAGAAACCTGCAGAATATATGTTAACACATTTTGGGGGTCATTCACAACCAGAATTTTCAAGATGGTTGAGTTATATGCTTCTTGTGGAAGAGACTCTTGCCTGCTTAGTTCATGACTGTACCTACAAACACTAGAACAGTGTCAGATCATAGTTAGACAAAGTGATAGGCCCCTAATTCCATCCATTAATTATTGAGAAACTAAAAGTAAGGTACAAAATGGTGATCTTTAATACAATTACTTTCTCTTAATGTTAAAATTATAATTTTTTTTGCTGGACGGGTAATAAATATACCCCAGTGGTAGAATACATGCTTAACATGTTTAAAGCCCTGGGTTTAACACCCAGAAACACAGTCTCTCTCTCTATCTCTCTCTCTCTCTCTCTCTCTCTCTCTCTCTCTCTCTGCTTTTTCTGCTAAATTCTAACTTAATAGATGCAATGTTGCCACTGTCTCTCAAGCTCTTCATTTTCAGTTCCGTTGACTATGGTACACTATTTCATGTACATTAAGTAAGCATATACGTATATAAAGATATAAGAGCTGGTGCATACCACTGTATAGTGAGAGAGGCAAAAGATGGAAATAAATGTTTTTGGTCATAATTTTGTGGTAATGTTTTTTCAGTCTTAGAGACTGAACAAATTAAGCAATATTCAAGGGAAAGGAATGCAAAATCTTCCAAAAGTGTACACTGAGAGTGGAAATGGACCTCTGAGAAAGAATTTTTTATAATGCATTGTGTTCCTCCTTGTTCAGTTCCAGTCAGTTCTCGAAACTCATTGAGGGGAATCTAGAGAACACAGCATGGAATTAGTAGTCATAAGCTGAAGTTTAAAAACAAAGCAACCAACCATGAGCCTTCATAAAAATACCCATTATGAGTCTGTTTCATGGTAAGTTAAATAGGGTCTTTCCATTAGATTCCGTTTTAATCTTCTAAATGAAGCAAGTAGACAAAGTTACCAGAGCAGAACAAGTAAAACACCTAGATTTGAGACTAGTCTAAGGAGACAGTCCTCAGCTCTGCAATGCCGACAGCCTCCTCTTTCCAGATACTCTGCTGGACTTTTTTCTAGTACTGAGATTGAACCCAGGACCTTATGCGTGCTAGGCAAGCACTCTTCCATTGACCTATATCCCCAGCCTTTTTTTTTTTTTTTCGGTCTTTCTGAGACAGGGTCTCCCTGCAGCCCTTTTTTATTTCTGAGGCTGACCCTCACTAAGTTGTCTGTCTGGCCTTGAACTCACTATGTCGCCCAGGCAGTTCTTAAAATTGCAATCCTCGGCCTCTCAAGAAGCTGTGATCATAGGCATGAGCCACCATGTCTGGCTGTCAGCTTAGATTTGACTGTACCACTTTTATGTTGGTTCCTCAGATTTGTTCCCCCATGTTTTGTGTTCTTCTGTGGTTAGCTAACTGAAGGAACTGGACATCCTAGAGTTTGCCATCATGGGTCTGCCATAGCCTGCTTAAACGAGCAGACTGCAGCCAGGGAACTGCATGGCAAGTCCACCCTCTGCTACAGGAGGGAAGAGACAGTGGCAGGCGGGAAATGGGGTGGGTAGAGAAAGTGCACAGTAGACAGAAACTTCTCGAGAGGCAGCTGTACAGGTCAGGGGGAAAGAAGATGCCATTCCTGCTGGAGGGGCATTCTAAGTCTTCGGTTTTCTTTTTCTAGTTCTGTATGATATTTGTTCCTTCTGACTTCTGAGCAAAGAAAATGCTTTACAGTAGGTCCTCGAGGCTTCCTCTGTCTCTTTGAGGAAGTAGGAGAAAAAACATTTACACTAAAAACTCTCACCACCCTTTCTCTTCTGGGTTTATGAGCGTCAGACTTGCAAACAGACACTGAAATGAAAAAAGGAAGACTGCTTCTTTTTCTCTAAAAAAGCAATGTTCAGCTATTTCCCCCTTTAACTCCTCCACTATTCGATAGCTATTAAGAGTTCACGGAGCCAGAAGTTCAGGTGTGTACTGTCCACGCCAATTCCCTTTTGTGACAGAAGAGAAATCTAGGTACTTAGAATTATTTCCATTTCAACTACACAGCAAAGGAGATTTGGCAAAAGCCATTACTTAGGATGTCAAATAATTGTTAGTATAAACATCAGGAGGTGGAGGGTAAGCCCAGATGTGCCTTGATTGCTTTTATCCACAAGGAGTTGTCTCAGTATGGTAGCTGACACATAGCAAGAATTCAGCATTTGTTAAATGGAATACTGTGCTGGATAGCTTTAGTGTCAACTTGACACACCTGGGTTGAGGGAGCCTCAGTTGGGGAACTGCCTCTATTGGACTGGCCTGTGGCCATGTCTAAGGGGCATCTTCTTGATGAGTGATGCGGGAGGGCCCAGCTCACTGTGGGTGGTGCCACCCCTGAGCAGGTGGGCCTGTGTTGCATAAGAAAGTAGGCTGAGCAGGGGCGGTCAGTAAGCAGTGATCCTCCATGGCCCATGCTCCAGCTCCTGCCTCCAGGTTCCTGCCCTGAGTTCCTACCGGATGAACAGTGATTGGGGATATGTAAGCTAAATAAACCCTTTCCTCCCCAAGTTGGTAGTGGTCAGAATATTTTGTCACAGCAATGAAGAACAAACTAGGACAAATACTATGTTAAAAGTGATATTGAAGATAAATTATGGGTTTAGTAGGAAAGAGTGCCAGGACTGATCATTGATGTCTGTTTTGGGGATGGATGGGGAAGTAATAGCCACTGTGTCATGGATTTATTATGTTTGCTTGCATAAAGTTGTATGTTCCAGTGCACAACTTGTTAGACATTAGGAAATTGGCTGTTTGAAAGACTGGTCTAAGAGAAGGAAGGATTGTGAAATATGTTGTTTCATAAGTATTATCAGAGGTTTGTGGATACTATATGGAGTCATTGGAAGCATTGTTGGGATTTGTGATATTGGTTATTTTTACACTGTATTAACACTAAAAGGTATATAAATCAATGTTGCTAGCCAGAGAGAAACATCCTAAATCTTATTTGCTTGTTGATTAGCTTAAACAGCATACTTAGAAAGCATTTACTACATGTTGTAACTGTCCTACTATGAGAAATAACAGCCATTTTGTTGTCTTTTTCTGTAGATCATTATCAGTCTTATACTTACACCTTCTTAAAGTTGATCTTAAAGATCATCCACTAAATAATGATAACTTTCCCCTGTGGTCTAATATTTTATGTATTTCTGGTTTTATTACTTTAATTCTCTCCTGAGAAACTTTGGTCTTCTGCTTCCATTAAAATTATTCTTTTAATTTATGTGTATGTGTGTGTGCACGTGTATGCAAGTGTTCAAAGAGGCCAGAAGAGTGTGTCAGTTCTTCTGCAGCAGGTGGTTGTGAACCACATGATGTGGGTGCTGGGAACTGAACTCAGATCCTCTGAAAGAGCAGTAAGCACTCTTAACCACTGAACGATCTCTCCAGCCTCCTGCTTCCCTTTCTATTGAACATTTCCATTATAGGTGTATTTTAGTCCTTAGGCTTGGAACTTGTTTCTGACTCAGAGGATTAATGAAACTCCAATCATTTTCACTACACACTAAGTGGCCTGCACTTATTTCTTGTTGAATATTTACTTCTGAAAGTATCTTTTGTTTGGAGACTTTCTACCCCTGATAAGCATCTGTAGATATGTTAGTATTTCATTTTAATTACATAGAATGATGAGAAACTCCATGAAGATGTATTTTGAAAGGCATATGTATAGTCTCAGGGGATTTAAAAACGACTAAGACATGTATAACTTCCTACTTACTACAAATCTGGTACATGAATTATGAACAAAGCAGTGTTTAGACATTGTGGTATGCTTGTTGCTTACCAGGCATGGTCACTAGCTGAGCTCTGATGTGGATGGAGCATCTGATAGTGTACATAAAACCGGTATCACCTCTTCGTTGATACAGCTTGTACATGCTGTCTTACCACTGTGCCCACTTCATATAATGTGGGAAGAGACACAATTCTATTGCAAAATGGAGAATTTTTAGTAGGCTGTGAAATCAGGTTAGTGGGTTTCAGCATTAAAAACAAAGCAACCGAATAATGTGGAAAATAATCCAAGTATGTTGCAAATAGGCTGCAAACTGTTCAGCAGGACTGTTTCTGTTTTAATTATAGACACGTGTTCACAGACACTATACCCTCATAAATGTGTCTGTGTATGCATGTGCTAATGGCTCTGATGTGAAACATTTCTTTTTGTAGGACTTGGAATAGCAAGTTTAAAAGTGCACAGCCAGGGCTCTTCTCTCTGCTTTTTGTATAGAAAAGCAATGCGAAATTATAAGCAACATAGTTGACTGCATACCACTCCTGAAGCAAGGTCTGGAGAAAACTTGGTAGTAGAAATAGCTCCTGTCCCTCAGTTGATGTGGGCACAGTGCTGCTACATGCTGCTCTCTTATGCCTGAAGTGGCCTTTTCAGCAGGGATTTTGGTCCTGAGGTTTTTATTTTATTTTATTGGTAGTATGTGTATATGATGTGTGTATGAGTACAGGCATGTGTGTGC